AATATTTAAAACTCGAAGTTTACATTATGAATTGGTACATTTTAAAATTTAGCTAAATGAGGTGAATGATTAGTTAGCATGAAATTAAATAAAATTCAAAAATGAACGAATGAATGAATGAATGAAAAATTGATTGATTTCATGAGTTATCGAAGGATAACGCGTCAAATGCTGAATTGCGTTATCGCCTTGCGCATGCCTGCTATATCCTTTCAAACTTTCGCTTCTCGAAAGAGAATGAACGTTATCAATTGCTTAAAGAAGGTCAGTAATAATTCATATTTTTATGATTTCTCTCACGAACTTCCTCATTAGCATTAACTGTTACGTGAAATTACGCGAAATATGTGACCATCTAATACAGTGTATCTTCTCATATTTGCATTAAAAAAAATGGAAATAACATATTATTATTAAGCATACATGTCGTGTAAATCAGCTTATGAACTAAACTCGAACAATGCTGAAATATTGAAATGGTGCGCAATCATAACCGGCACGCTTGCGGAACTTAGGAATTTAAACGATTGTGAACGAGTGATTTATGTGAAAGAATTTAAGGTAATTCAGGAAAAAAAAAGAAATTGAAATTAGTAATAGGTAAGCTAAAAAGTGGGAGAAGGGAAAAAAAACGCTTGTAGATTAATTATTAAATTAAAATTCTGAGACTTCAATGATAGTACTGAATAAGCTGTTATAATATGCTAATACTGAAACTTTGAATTTTATTTCTTTCTCTTTTCGCCAATTTATAATTAATTCAATTATTTATTGGCAACTCTTAAGATGATAATTTAACAAATTTTTAGACGTATCTGGATGAAGCATTAGCTGGTGAACCGGATTCATCAGTTTACCATATGAATGGACGATTTTGTTACCGTGTAAAGCATTCATTTCGTTTGTTATTGAAAAGTTCACTTATGTATATTGCATGAATTTATTATATGTTTTATTAATTTGAAATCTTTCAAACATTTTGGAAAAAATTTATGAATCATTTATTGCTGTTCAATTGGGAATTTCGGAATGTCTTACGTTGAAATTTTCCAATATTTTAATCAACAAGCAAATATTATCCAAATCCATATAATGGGAATTAGTTTATAATGCGCATCCGTTACATGGATAGTAATTCAGTTACAATCCTTAAAACTTTCTACTTCCGGAAACTCTATTCGGAAAATTACCGAAAAAGTTAGTAATTTCTGTTTCAGATGGCAACATTAACGGCGGAAGAAAAAAAAAGTGTAATGAATGCATTTCATTCATTGCCAACATGTACTATTGATGAGGCACTTGACAATTTCTATAAAGTTTGCTTGAAAACTTTATAATACATGAAAGATGAAAAAAATTTTTTTTTACGAATGACAAGAGCTTAAAATGAATTAAATTTGAATGAAATTATGAAAGGACTGAAATCAATGTGTGTGTATTGGAAAGAGATTTATAATGTGATAAATTTATGGATCAAAATAATGAAATAATTTAGGCGGAGGTAATGAATTCGGGACATATTGACAATCTTATGTTCCTTGGCAAATGTTACATTGCCAAAGGTTATTTACTCATTGTATTTTTAAATTCTTTTCTCGTTTATTCTTTCAATTTCCAAATTATTCCATTAATTTGATATGGTAAAATGGAAATTTTCATTTGATAATTTAATTTTGAATAAATTTCATTTTATATGGCTGGTCAAATGTGAGATACATATAAATTGAAGTCAAGAAATATATCGGAAATAGATTAGTCTGACATTCTTGAGAAATTGGATGACTAACTTATTTTAAACTTGATATTAATGATGTAAAAAAAAGTACAGGTAATGCATCGAAAGCGAAAAAGTATTTGTTGCCTGTAGTTGAAATAACACCAACTGACGAGATGGATGAAGCACTAATTGCTGAAGTACAGGAACTTTTAGATAATATAAAGGAAGGCAATGTTCAGGTCATTTTTTTTTTTAAATCTTTTGGATAATATTGATGAAATTTAATAAATTTGTAATATTTCTGCAAGTTTTTTGAATGGGAACAATGTGCTATATTAATTGCTATCACTAATTTGTTATCATGAATTTCGTTATTACAAAGATTACGAACAAATCATGTCAATTCTGTAGTAGTAGCTCAAATACAAGTAGAACGAATGAATTTTGAAATTTAATATCATCTTAGGCTCTAAAATGTTCAGGATGAAAACGAAGAAAATGAGGATGAAAGCGAAGAAAATGAGGATGAAAGCTCAGACCAGACAGATTTCGATGAATTGGAAAATAGTACTGATTCAACCAGCAATTATTCTAAGGAAGAATAGAATCGCACTGGTTAAAAATTCATGCATGAAGAAACAAATTTGAGAGATATTTTTTATATCCGAAAAAACAAGTGAAATTTTCCTGCAGATATTCCGTCGTGAAATTTCAATAAATATACAAAATCTTCCTTTCTCATCCAGTTATAAATGCAATAAATTTTCTAAACAAATTCATCATTTAAAGAGTGTTAGGTCAACTGGAAGATTGGTTAAATAGAATCTTCACTGAATGATGTATTTAATTGCGTATTCCTCCCAATGCAATATAAAACATACGCTCAGTAATCAGAATTGTTTTTTATTAGAAAAATAATCAAGAATGGAAATTTCCCGTTTTGTGATGTAATTGATAATAAAAGTAATTTAAAAAGCTATTTTAATAAATAGAAAAATTTAATTTATGCAAAAACATTTAAATCTGTTACTTTCTATGAGATCACACACAAATGTGGATAAAAGTAACAGTAAAGTATAAAAGCTTATGTATGTCGCTGAGTGAAATCTATGACAATCATCACTACTGAACACGGAAACAGAGATAGAAAATTAAAAATGAGAAAACTTTAAAATTGTGCAGTAGGCAAAAATTTCTTAAAAAATTAAACGATCATTTTCCGGATAACTTAATTTATCGAGGCTTGGCGTACAAGCAAACTTAATCATCGGCGGCGGACCACACATTAAGATGACTGTGCCAGAATCGCTTCCAGGTCCGGGTAAATGCTTCTGGATCATTTCTGCATTCACAAATCCTATAAGTACCAAACGGTGAAGAATTTATAAAAAGTGAATTAATTTAACATCATGCAGTTTGCATCAATGACGTCCTCTTCCACTTATTTTCTATAAATGAAGTAATTCAATTGAACCTATTGAGTACATCCATCCAGGTTTTGCCTGACCGACCGTGTACCACACACGGAATTTTTCGGAATGCTTTGCAGCTAATCTGTCTAACTCATCCCTAAAAATCAAATTAATTATTTCTGCTTGCATCAAATGCACATATTTCAAGAATTCAATTGTACCGTCACTTCAAAGAAATATAATTCAAAAACGATCCTTATCATCCGAAAAAATATTATTACAAAAAAGATCATACAATCTTTGCCAGACCAAGAAAGTAGGAAAGTTAACATTGAATCATAGAAAAAAATCTACTTTACATGAATTGAGATGATTAAAACAGTTAATATGCCGAAAATTGGTCTTGAGATGTCAAGGTTAAGTAAGACATATTTTATATATCTCACAGTAGCACATGGATTCCAAATTTCAAAAATTTATGTCATAGCATATTTTATTGCAAAACATAACTTAGCAATATATCGGATTCATCCTTGTTCGCAAAAATCAGTGATACTTTAGTAGGATCTTCTGGATCTTTCATAATTGCTGAGATAATCTGCAAATATATTTCTCACTATTCACGTTCTTATATTATTAGCTGATTAAAGGACCATTATTGGTCCAGCAAACAATTATGCTATCAATATCTTACTTGCAACATCGGTGTAATACCGCTACCACCCGCAATCATACCGATATTTTTATACATGCGACGTTTCGGTTCTGCTTTTTTCGTCGTCTTCACAGCAAAAACACCATTTCCTTCATAAATGATTAATCCCGAAGGACCGCGAAAATTAATTGTTTCACCTGATATTACGCAAAAAATAATATCATAGTTGTCACTTAGAATAATTGAATTCTTACAGATCTCATAATATCAGTTGCAATATTCGCAAATAACTTCCATAATCAATCTCTTCCTCCCCCAGTAAGGGAAAATGTTGTGTTTCAACAATCCCCAAATGGAATTTGAGAAACAAGGAAAACTGATCATAACTTATCATAAAAGTTCATTTCGCAAAGACAAAAAACTGGCATCCATTAATACTTGAAATTTCAATCCATCTATTTCATATTAAATTCATACCCGTCTTCATTTTATCAAGATACTGCGTCATCTTTCCACCATCTGGAAAGTTCGGATGGACATTCTTAAAGTAAACCTTAATCATCAAATCAACATATCCTTCATCATCGTCGGATGAAATTGGCGTATATGGACGAACAACAAGCTTTCCATCTATCTAAAATTAGCTTATTTTGAGGATTGCTACGTACATAAATTAACATAGAGATGGAGTTCTTTGAAATGCCATACGATCTGAAAGTCTGAAATCACAAACGCTCTTTCGAGGAGACTGCACAATAACTATATCTACAAGACGCGTTGTACCGCATAATCAATAATCCCCGCCCGCATCAAACTTATTTTATACTTCCATAATAATTACCTTAGCTGAAAGATGAATATGCTGGCCAATAGGCAAACCGAGAATGTGCTCATTAGTCGGTAACTTGAAACGAAATCTTCGTGTATCGTGGTTAATAATTTCTTTTTGCAGTAAAGGAAGAGGATATGTTGCTTCAGGATCCACAAGAGTTAATTTCTGAAATGACGAATAGTTTTGAAAAAATTGTAAATGCAAATCCATGATTCTTATAGCATTTAAATAATACGAATTTTGGTTTCTTAAAACTGAAGTATCAAATGAAATTTGCTGTGGAAAAGTACTAAAAATACATCAATTCTCACTTTTCTAGTAAAACCAGAAAACGGACAGAATGTACAGCGAATACCTCGTCGTCGATATAAAAAGTGATATAACACTACTGAAGAAAGAACTATAACGGAAGCGGTGATGAGTACCACGCTACTCATAGTGATTTCGTTGTTCGAAACCATTTTTAATACGAAAGTTATCTGCTTCTTTCGAATTTTCAATATAGCAACCTTTAAGCTCTCATTACATATAATAATAAGATACATATGAATGCTACGATCAAAACATTATTTTTGAAATAAGAAATCTATTTGACAATTAAGCAAAATCAAATTAAAGAGGAGAAAGATCAATTCGGCAACAACAAAATACTTCTACAAATGTATTTCTTAACAACCATCAAGCATTTGTATGATTTGATGTAAATGAAATGACTCTCTTTCAACCGTCCTTAAAATCGTCCTTAAAATCGATTCGGAATCACTGCCTTCTGAAAAAAAACTGAAATATTCGATGAATAAGAGAAAGCACTTCCCCAATTTCCATTCCCTATTTCCTAACTTCTTTACCACACAATTAAAAACCCTTTCGCTGAAACAAACGTAACAAAATTAAATATTGAACTAACAAAGAATTATCAGCAATGGCAGATTCAAATCAATTTCGATTTCTCGACATAATTCCCTTCGAATAATCCCTTCTTTATCATCCCTTTTTATCATAAATTAAAACTGTCAATTTCCTTTAAGGATATCTGCAAAACACTTGTATTCAGCGTTCTTTGCTTTTGTGTATTTTTTTGGATACCAAACTGTAAGAGTACTTTATTAACGCAAGAAAAATAAAGAAGCTAGCAATCAATTTGACAAGAATATTAGTGAAATCAGCTGAATTAGACCAGAAATAAATAAAGAATACCTAAAAAAATCCCAGTAATAGTGACTTAGTAGAACAAATCTAATGATTTCATGGAAAACATAAAAGAGATAAAAGATGAAGCGGAATGATGACAGTCAAACAATTTTCCGAAAGAAGCGTCTTCGAGGTAAAATATAATTTCAATCTTTTTATTTTTTCATTGTTTCTAAGTCAATCCGCTGCCACAATCGCTTTTTTTTCATGGATTAAAAAACTTTGAAATCACTTCCTGGGAAAACATTGTTTCTTGGAGAAACATACAAGCAGAAAATTTTGCAAATAAGAAAGCGATGTAAATATTTTGTAAATAGACGCCGCAGCTGCTCCTACTATTGCTATTGTGAAGCAAAAAGAAATAAAATAGAAAATTCGTCAAATAATTCTTCACTGAGCATACAACACATTCTCAGCGCAAGTTCATCAATTCTCCCATTCGTTGCGATATATTCTGGAAAATGAAACTGTAGAAAAAGAAAATACACAAACAAATAACAGATCATAAGACTAGAAATCAGCATCAGAACTAAAGTCTTATACATTTTTCTCAAGTTGCATGTAAAAGAGATCAGTCATGTCATGAAATATTCTCGTGAAACTAGGCTAATGACGGATAATCCGCACACAAAGTAATAAATATGTTATGAAAAACCAACAAATTTTATTTTTTGAAAGTCAAACAATTTGTATTGTTAATCATAATCTTCAGAGTGAGCTAACCAGATTTATGAATCTATTTGCTATACAATTTCAAAAGAAAAAATTCATACCTGTTAAGTCCAATTTTTTGACAAAACCAATTTTCACGGATCGTATAATTCTCTATTTGCAAACAAAGAATGAGCTGTTGAAGTACTCCTTTGTTTGAGTACCTCTCCTCTAACTGCAGCAACCCGAAATTAGAATGCTTTAGAAAAAAATCATCAAAAAGAAGTCAACAAAAAGGTAGCAGTTAGAATTATGATTCGAGTATGTAACCAAGAAATTCTTTTCAAAAAATCAAACATCGAAAATGTCAATCTGTACGGTATTCGAGTAACATCTTAAGGCGACAAAGAAGAAATTCGGTAAACGACTAAAATTCCCTCTCAGTAGATCTACTAGAAACAAGTGTGCACCTTGCCAGACGGCATGACGAATCGGTGGCTGTCACGATCAGACGGCTGTCGAGTAATTTCGGATTCGGATGAATGAAGAAACTGATAGATTTTTCCAGAGCGATAAAAATAAATGATTTCTATTGCCAAATACGGCAAACAAAAGATGGAGACCGAGCATAAAATAATACTAACCCAATCTAAAAGAACATATGACGTTCAGTAAATTCAAAGCTTTACCGAATGGCTATAATATTTCCCACTAATCTAATAAATTCACTAATTCTACCGATTGTATACAAAAGTAAACTAAATAATCACTCTTTTGGAGATACACAAACATACGTGAAAAATCCCCGAAAATTAGCAAGCAATCGCGACTAGCCACCGAACATAGTCAATAGTCATCGAGATTGATATCCTCGATATCGTCATTGAGATCATTCAGTTGGAAGTCCACACGATAACGCAAAAGACCTGTAAGCAACAGGCAGCTAAAAACAGCACCACATTTCCAGAACAGAAATCCAAAGGACCAATTAATATAATATAACCAAATATACCTCCAATACCGCCAAAGCCCCGCACAAATTGCGCCCCTTCCTGCGATCGGTCCGTAACAATTTCCAAAGCTGCACCATACGATTTGTAATTGTTCGCTAACCATTCTAATAACGGCATGGAATCCATAAGTTCTAATTCAACGCCAGTCTAAATATCATATCAATTTTATCTGTCACCATTATGATGGGTAAAGAAATTATGAATTTTAGACAGAAATTCTCTTCCAGTCTCGTCTTTCCAGATTTGATACTTTGTAATGTTTGATATTTTTTTATCTTTTACTGCTACTTTCTCTATCGAAAAATTATGTAAATTAACTGACAATTATTAATTTTTTAAAAACCGAAAACTGAAAAAACATACGGACGATTCAGTGAAATGTGTCTTATTCTTTTCCTGATCCGGGTCCAAATATAACAACTTTTCCTCTAAAAAAAGGGAAAAAATCAGCAGAATAAAATCAATCGAGTGATAACTTTTCCACCAGAACGATTAAAAACGAATACCTCCAGTAACCGGATTTTTAAGCTGATAACGTACAATATCTAAATTCTCCCAACAGATCAATGTTTCCACAGCACCCATTTCCAATGCTTGCAGCGTATCCGTCACACCATAAACATACTTTCCGGAATCCTTTAACATATAAACATATTTGCTGATTTCACATGGAGTAAAACGGATTAGTTGTAGTGCAATAACGAACAGGCTTTAACTGTAACTAATGTAAAACCCGCAGACGACATGCACTTTAATTTCGGAAGTTTGACTTTAAGATGTGCAACTATGATGCACAGCCCAATTACTAACTTCCAAAAATATGTAGAGAAAACTGCTATATTAGCTCTGTTATTTGCTTTAGCAAAAGCTTTTCATCGCGAGAGAAAGAGAGAGAGAAAATAAAAGTTCAATTCTGAAATTTACCTTGCAAATAAATCGTACAATGCAACATTACCAAGGAATTTACGCGTAACGTTAGCAATTGATAAAAGTGATAATTTAAAAAGCAACAATTTGCGAACTTGAAATACCTGCGAAATCTCATCAAAATATCCGTTAATTAATTTCTTTTCTTGGATGAATTTCACATTCGCTAGCGCATCTTCGGCTAATTCAATTGCCTGATTAAATCCATTCTCACCACCGTATGAAATATCTACCGTTTTGATAATTTTAGCTTGAAGTCGCTGCAAATAATCAAAAAATTAGGATTAATCGTCAGCAAGAATAAATCGCCAGAAATCGACCGTATTCCTCACCTGATCAAACATATCGGATTGGCCAAGCTCCGTTTTGAAATCTGCGCTACCAGCCAAAATTAGCCCTGCTACATTTACTTTATCGTTTCGAATAAATATTTCAACAGCTGTTTCCGCAACCTTCCTTACATAATTGTGACGTTTCTCCATACGAAGTCGTGCGAAACGCAGCGCAGATTGTCCACCACGACCTGCGAAGATGCAGTGATCAAATTTATCATACATCATGCTAACTCTGATAAAAAAAAACTATAATTAATTCCCACAAAAAAAGCAGAAATGGAAACAAAAATTACCATGCTTTTTTGGTAAATCAACGGTAAATTTGTGTAGCACTTCACGCGTATTACCTTGCAATGTTCCAAACAATGACCCATTACCATCCATTATAATGAATCCAAATTTATTGTCATCAGCCAACAGGGCTAAAAGACATAAATGATAGCATGGCATAATTTCACGATATTTGCTTGCATATCACTAAACGTACGTGGTAGCAGCGAATTTAATTTTGTTCGTCACGTTCTGCGTTCAAATAAATTAATCAAATAAAATTCACAAATACCCTGCAATGCTTCTGTATGGAATTTGTTATCACAAAGATAAAGTGAAGTATTTATTGGTTTGAATGGTTCGAAATCAATGTTCACTTTCTTCTCCTTCCCTTCATCCGTTACAATGGTACCACAATAAATCACCAAACCATTTGTTGGTACTAAAAAAAAAACAATCATTGATACTCGTGTTTTGTAAGTGTTATTGTTGAAATTTTGACTGTCCGATAGCATAGGTCAACATAATGCATATCGGATTATCTTATCTATATTCTAGTAGATGCACTAACCTTTGTTATAAAGTTTTAGCCTTCCTTGTACCGATGTTATAGCACCTAATACGGATAACCGGTTTACTCGAGATTTGATATTTGACGCAGTACCATATTCGTCGGCTAACATTTTTGAGATACGCGCAATTTGATCTCGTGGCGGTATTATCAATGAAATCATCGATGTACCATTCCTGAATATGTCCATTATTTTATTTCGTACAGTTTTTATTTTTAAATAAATTTGCTCTACGCATCAGAAATTGAATCGATCACTAACCCGCGAGCCATTTCCAAACTTTTTATCAACCGTTTGATTTTCCACACTTCAACGTTATGATCCGCCGCATCTTCACCGGATCCAGATGGTCCAGACATTACTACTAACGTTTGCGTTTATTCACGACGTTCAGCAAATAAATAATGCCCTGCTCGCCCTCTTTAAAAATTATCAGTTCAGTGTTCACAACCTAACAAAAAATGCGTAATGTGGCATATCGACAGTTAAGTAATAATACGTA